GTTGTTGTTAATAATGACAGATTCATAGACATTGCAAGAACAGTAAAGGTGCCCTTTCCCCAGATTCCCCTGTTGGAAACACAGGCCCTAACTTATACGGCTTCACTACCAGGACCCTGACGTACACACCATGCATGTGTAGGTGTACCTCATTTACCACACGTGCAGGTCCATGTGGGCACCCCTACAATCAAGATACCGACCTACTGTCACCACAAAGACCTCCTTTGGGCCCCCCCTGTCCCCAGTCCCCACCAGCTCCACCCTGGCGGCCACTGATCCGTTCTCCGTTTCCACAGTCCTGTCATTCTGAGAAGGTGAGAGGGACGGAATCCCACAACGTGTGACCTTCCAAGACTGGCTTTCTTTGTGCACCATTAACGTCCTCAAGACCCATGCAGGTGACACGTACAGTGATAACCTGTTCCTCTCCATTGCTGTATAGTATTCTGTGGCAGAATGTTCCACAGTCTTATCTACCATGCACCTGTTGTGATGTTTTTCTTTTTAAAATCAGGTAATTAATAGCTGGATTAATCCAGCTAATTAATAGCTGGTTTAATCCTTTCCCTGTCTTGGCCCAGCCTTCCGGAGACTCAGTCACACTCTCTGAGAGCACAGCCATCGTTTCCCATGGCACCACCGGCCTGGTCACGTGGGACGCCGCACTCTACCTTGCAGAATGGGCCATAGAAAACCCGGCTGCCTTTGCTCACAGGTGACCTTGGGGTGCCGGGCAGGGCAGGAAGGCCAGTTTTCTCAGCACAGTCTCAGACACAGGTCCCCTTCTCCCACCCAGGATTGTCTTAGAGCTCGGCAGTGGAGCTGGCCTCACGGGCCTGGCCATTTGCAAGACATGCTGTCCCAGCACGTACATCTTCAGCGACTGTCACACCTGTGTCCTTGAGCAGCTCCGAGGAAACATCCTTCTCAATGGCCTCTCATTGGAACCAAATACCACTGATCCTGCAAGGCACCCAGAACATAATGCCTACAACTCAGAGAGCCCCAGGGTGACGGTGGCCCATTTGGACTGGGACGTTGTGACGGCCCCTGAGCTCGCTGCCTTCCAGCCAGACATAATCATAGCAGCAGGTACTGCTTCCTGCCCCGCAGCAACTGGAGCGGCTCTACCCAGCACTCAGCTCTGGGAAGGGGACAGTGTACTCTGCCAGGCAGAGGAATGATGAGACCTGCAGAAGTGCCACTGTGGGCCTTCAGGGAGACATCAAACTACAGGGCATGGCTCTTGGATGCCCTAAAGCCACAGTCCTCCCACTTGACACAGTGGTCACATGTATTCCTGTTAAAATGGTTCCTTCAGATAAATGAACACAGCTTTTCTCAGCAAAGCCTGAGATGGAGTGCACAGGCCCCAGGGCACCAAAGCCATCTGACCTATTAGCCAGGATGCAGCTGAGCAGAGAGATTTTTATGTCTCTCCCTAGAATCTGAATGAAATGGCCAGAGCAGCCCCATGAAGCAGGGGAGCTGAACAGCAGCCCTGCCTCCGCCACCCCCCAGTCTTCAGATGTGGGGCCAAAATGGCCATGGCAGCCCTATCTTTTCAGGGCTGCAAGGGACAAGCATGATTCTCCCAGGACCACGTCTGATTCCTATACATGTCATAGACACCCAGCCCTGGGGCAGACCTAGGGTCGAACCACAGTGGTTTCAGAGTCAGGGAAGGAGCTCTGAGTGCCCCACCCTGGTAAGCGCTTGCTTCTGTCTCTACACAGCTCTGTTGCCTGATATTTGCACATCTGACCCCAAGGGCTCTGCCTGCACGTCTCTGTCCCAGATCAGGCCCCCATGTCTTTCAGAGACAAGCCCTACATCTCATCTCTGAGGGGATGAGTGGGGGAAGGAAGGGCCCAGCCACTTCAGGCTCAAGGACAGGGTCCTTGACACAAGGGGTGTTTGGCCAACAGCCCCCTTGTCCTCCACTGAGTTCACCCAGTCCCCAGTCCAGCTGACAGTGCTGTGGCTCTGATCCTGGCCTACAGCCCTGAGACATCCAGGCCCACAGTGGCCAGAACACAGAGCCTGAGCAGCACCTTCCCAAGTAAGGGTGCTGATAGGGAGTGAGTTTACCCCCTGCCCCTCAGTGCAGCCAACAAAACAGCAGATCCCTGCAAACAAGAAGTCTGAGACAGAGAACTGCTTGGGGGGGGTTTTCATTAAGCATCTTCTAAATAGGCCATAGTCAAAGAACTGATTTTTTTTAAAGGAACACCAGTGAGTCCTGGATATTTTCCATTTCATGCAGGGTTTTTCAGCAGCTTTTTTTCTCTCCGAAGAGTTTTCCTTTTTAACCATGTCATCTTCTTTGGTCCAATGTCATGATTCTAATAAAGCTGCTGGTTTCCAGGCCCCAGGCCTGCTGCTGATGTCAGCACAATCAGGCACCCTCTTTTCTGCATCCTGAATCCTAAAGTGAGCCCCTTTCAGTAACCTGAGTTTTTTCATTACAGATGTGCTGTATTGCCCAGAAACTGTCCTCTCCCTGGTCAGAGTCCTACAGAGGCTCTCTGCTTGCCTGAAGAACCAGCAGGCTCCTGAGGCCTACATTGCCTTCACCATCCGCAACCCAGAGACCTGCCAGCTGTTCACGAGTGAGCTGGGTGAGCCCTGGGCCCTGGGAGGGGCTGCTGTCTCTAAGAAGCCACCTGGGCCCCCACACAGGACTCCAGCGAGGCAGAAATCAGCAGAGTAAAAGAATGGGGCCCTGAAAACAGACAGACAGGCTGGGCCATTGGCCCACTACCCCCACCCCAACCCCGCCCCCGGGTGCTCAGTGGAGCAGCAGAGGAGGCAGGCTGGGGAGCTGTGCTCTGAAGGGGAAGAGACAGTTTATGCAGCAGTCCTAGAGGTCAGACCGGCAGTCCTACTATGCGTTTAGAGCAGGTTTCAAGGGTCTTCAGGCCCGTTTCCTGATCTGTGGAACGGAGAAGAGAGGATGGTGAATGCCAGTGGGTGTCAGGGTAGATGAGTTCTGGCCACACAGCAGTAGGGTGCAGGCTCTGGAACTGCGCCTGGTGAACCTGGGCTGCCACTCACCTCCCTGTCTTCATCTGTGTGGTAGGAACATCCACCTGGGAGGTGACACAGGACCTGGCATTGGGGAGCACTTGGGAACATGGTAGCTGCTGCTATCACTGTATTAAGCACCCAGTAAATGGAAGAAAAGCAGGGAGGACTCTGGAGGAGGGGGGCCTCTGCCATTTACACCCCAATCTGGCCCTGCTGTGGCCAGGTACTGTCCTCAGACCGGTCAGCTCCCCAGCATCACGGAGGGGTGTGCTGTCATCCTCGTCTCACCCATGGAAATTCTGGGGTGCATGGGGGCTAGTGACTGCCTGAGCCCCCGAGTGGAGCCAGGCAGCTGACTCCCACCAGGCAGCTGACTCCCACCTTCCACTCTCCCACCCCACAACCACGGGCCACTGTCCTGCAATCCCTGTCACGTGCCAGGCCCAACCGGGGCTTTCTTCACACAGCTTGGCTGCAGTGTGGTACCACGTGTGCCCCAACCCACCCCTCCCCAGCACAGCCCCCACAACAGCTGCCTCTATAGGCAAACACCCCTACGTGTGCCCGTGTCCCATGGACAGAGTGCCCTGTAGCTTTGAAAAAGAATGAAGTCCTCCTTCAGACACTATATGAAAAATCTCTATACTATAGTTTAAGTGAAGAAAGCAAAGTACCAAACACCATTTATATATATATATGTGTGTGTATATATATATGTATATATATATACACACACATATATATATATATATGCCCATTTTTTTTTAAAGATTTTATTTATTTATTTGACAGACAGAGACCACAAGTAGGCAGAGAGGCAGGCAGAGAGAGACGGAGAAGCAGGCTCTCCGCTGAGCAGAGAGCCCGATGCGGGGCTTGATCCCAGGACCCTGGGATCATGCCCTGAGCCAAAGGCAGAGGCTTAAACCCACTGAGCCACCCAGGCGCCCCAATAAGCCCATTTTTTTTAAGAGAGGAAGAGGGAGAACCTTTTTTCTTTTGTTTTTGTTTTTGAGGGGGAGAATCTTAAGCAGGCTCCATGCCCAGTGGGGAGCCAAACATGCAGCTTGATCTCACAACCCCGAGATCATGACCTGAGCTGAAATCAAGAGTCGGATACTTAACGAACTGAGTGACCCAGGTGCCCCAACTTCTTCTATTTTTAAAAATAATCCTCTCCATGTTCATATGTATATAGGGAAAAACCTGAAAGAACATAGACCAATTAACAGTTGTGATACTTGGTGGCAGGAGTATAGATAGACACACACACACACACACACACACACACACACGTATATTTTTTTTAAATAAGCTCTAGGCCTGGTGTGGCCCTTGAACTCATGAACCCAAGATCAAGAGTCCCAAGTTCCACCGACCGAGCCAGCTGGGAACGCGAACACTTGTGTACTTTTAATATTTCATTTTTATAATTACTTTCATTCATAAAAAACTGATGACAAAATGATCCTTGCCAAAGGCTCTTCAGGCATCTGTGCTTATGAGGAGGAGGTAAGCCCTTCTGGTGTATATCTAGCCTCTGCCAACAGGCACCAGGCTGAGTGGTCAGGAAACCCAGACAGGTCTGTGACCTTCTAGGGAAGGTATGGCCCAGAAGACAGGGGCGGCAAATGTGGCTGCCATGCACCGTTTAAAAACTCAATTCTTGGTCCTATCTCTGAAGGCTGATTCTAGGTGTCTGGATGGGGCCCAGATGTCTGTGGTTTGTGTATACCCCCCGGCCTGTCCTGCAGCCCCACATTATATAGGTGGTGTCATGTCCCCAGACCCCACCATCCTGAGACACATGTTTTATTTCCAGGCCGGGCTAGGATCCCATGGGAAGCAGTGCCTCATCACAACCAGAAGCTGTTTCCCTACGAAGAGCACTCAGACATGAAAATTTTGAAATTAATGCTGTAGGTTTACAAACATTTTTAAAGATTAACATGAAAATTAAATCACCATCCTGGAAAGAATTTTCATGTGGCAAAGCTGATAAAATTTTCACTGGACTTGAATGCTTGAAGAATGTTAAATTCAGAATCAGGACTGCAAACTGTGTTCTAATAAAATATAAACTATTCAAGTGGGTGCCTCTTTCTGTCACTAGTTCTAGTTCTTAAGTAAATCTCTATAAATCAAAAATGAAAAATTTTGCTCAGAAATAAGCATTTCATTTATGCAAATAAAAACATGTATCAAGTATGTCTCCCCATCCCACCCCCAACCCTGCACCCACGTCCCTCATGAAGCCAAGCTGCTTCAAACCCATTGTAGATGTTACAGAGCAGCAGGCTGTGGTACCTGTCCTTACAGCAGGAATGAAATACTAGGGACACAACGGGACAGATGCTGGGAGAGGCAGACACCGTAAGACAAAAACAGGTCAAAGAGATGTTGAAGGTACCACAGGCAAATAACAGAAAAGTAACACAGTGGGGAGAAAGAAACACTCGGGTCATGAGTCTCTCAGAATCAGAGCCTCCAGGGAGGAAACCAGGCTGAACCAGCTTCCTGGTCCACAAATTCCCAAGCAATTAAAAAATTTCACTCTACAGCTGTCCTTCCAGCTGCTGTCCACAGGGAGGCGCTGTTCTAAAGCGTTTGCCCAGGGCTAAGAGGAACTGGGCCACACTCAGGAGCACTGTCTTTGGCTCAAGCAGTCACCGGTCCATAAGCAAAGGCAGCACCGTCTGCTTCCAGCTCTCATCCCAACGAAGCTGCTCTGACTCCCGGAGGTTCTTCCGGAACTGGTTTAGTTTGCCAGCAGGATCAGGAAACTTTGAGAAAAGCATCTAGAAGAATAACGACCAGAACTTACTCATCACTGCTTCCCACCCCTGTCCCAGGTCCCACCCTAGAGCTGTCCCTCCTTCCCAGCAGCCTAGACTCCTGTCCGCTTCCAAACACAGGCTCCCAGACCGGTGATCCTACCGAAACCCTCTGTCACTGCACTTCAAGAACCACTACCAGTGTCCTGGAGCCCCCAGAGCTCCCGCTCTGGCCAAGTTTTCACAGCAACCTTGGCTAAGCTTGACATAGCTCTGACCCCGATATCCCAGACTCAGCAAGCCCCTTCCTCACGGGGCATAGGAGACCCCTCAAGTCCCAGCCATGCTCCATCCCCTACTCTGCTCCTCCTTGACAGTGCGGCCCAGACTGCAGCGTTTTCCATCCACGCCATCTACACACCATGCCCTGGGGCAGCCCTTGGCCACTGCTGTTCTGTCCACCCACAGCACCCACCCTCAGCCTCTGCCCACCACTGTCCAGCCCACGTGCTAGAACTCGGCATCTGTGTTCTTTCCAGCTAAACTACATGTTGCTAAACTACATCAGGTGTTTGCAAAGTAAGCCCAGGGGCCAACTTCAGCCCCCACCTGTCTCTGCAAGTAGTTTTACTGGAACACAGCCCCATCCTTATGAGCCCCCACTCACAGACTGGTTGCTTTCATGTTACGGCAGAGCTGAGGACTTCTGAGACTATGGCAAAGCAAAAACATTTTCTATCTGGGCCTTTCCAGAAAGTTTGCTGTCCCTGGTCTCAACTGCCAAGAATGATGAACCCATCTTTTGTAATAAGTGTAAGCACCATTTGAAGACTCCCACCCCCACCCCCACCCCTGCAAAACTGCTTCATGAAGCTCCCTTCACTCACTCCCTAGTGGCTCACTCCCTAGACAGAGCACATGGTCCACCAGCTCCAGCATCACTGAGTGGTATAAGCTCCACAAACCCAGAGGGCAGTCAGGGCCGCACCCACACAGAGCGCAGGGAGGCCCAGCCTCTGAGACCACTGCTCCCTGCCTCAGCTGTCACCCAGACGCAGCACAGGCCTGCCCAGACACAGGAGCAAACAATCAGGGCAGAGTTCAGCCTGGCGTGGTGGCAGACATGGCTACCTGCAGCTGGGCTGCCAGCTCCTCAGAGTCCTCGAAGATCAGGCCGTTTTCCTCATGTTTCACAAGCTCGTGTAAGCTGCAGAGAGAATCACAGACCTGAGAGCCTGGAAAATCCCCGCAGTGCCCGCAGTGCCCACCCGGACTCCCACCCCACCCCTCCCATGGTCAGTCTGCTTGCAGCGAGTCTGTTCTTAGATTTGGCATCTGAATAGGAAAAAAAAAGGCCTCAAGGGACAAATACACATTAAAAATCCAAACTGAAAAAAAGAAAAAATCCAAACTGATTCCAAGAAGGAGGAACAGTGAGCACACACTTTGACCTTTTCTGCTACAGGCTCTTTTCTCTGAGAACGTGCTCAATGAGCTCTCCATTTTTTTTTTTCTTAATTGCACAGCAGAGAAACAAGGTAAAAGGCAACCGCACTAGAGGGAGACTTGGCACATTAAGGATGACTTTTCTGGGTCAACAGGGAGTTAATCCCAATGTGCCCGGAGCTCAGGGTCGAACATCCTGTATTTCCCATTCAGAGGCTGGCTCCTGAGCCAGTGGTGCGACTACTATTTCTAGAACCTCTCCTAACACCGCCCTCTCCAAACACCCATCTTTGCCAGGAACAGTGGAGACAGAATCACACTCATTTAACTGATTCCAATTCAACTCTTATGAGCCCAGACAAAAGGGACACAGAAATAAAACCATGTCAGCTGCGCAGGCAATTCCATCCACCACTCTATCCATGAGCACAGGCTCCCTAAATGGAATATTTAAGACTCATATTTTTTATTCAACATCAGCTCTAAGTGGAAGCCCACTCCTTCAACAGGGTACAGCCCACCCACAGAAAGCCCACGGGCCCTACTCCCAAGGACCACCTGGCAATGCTGCATGATTTTCTGGGAGAACTCCATGAGCAATTCCGACCTCACTGACAAACCACCCCCCGCCACCACAGCTGATCTGAGAACCTAACTCCGTGAACACTCGGTTTCTGCTCCTACCACTGGAAGTTCACAGCGCACACGGGCAGACAGCACCCGAACATGTCCACCACCTTCATGGGCAGGTCCAGGCCACTGGAGGACTTGTGCAGGCACACACCCAGGTCTGCCGAGCCTGCAGGGTTGGGGCGAGGGGGGGCAGTCAGAGCGCAGGCCCATGCACCCCTAGAACACAAATCCTGAAAGGACTGTGGATCGTCACCTCAGCATAGGGAATGGAAAGCAGGGTAACAATGCCCCCAGCCCCACATACTACTGGCTAAGTTGGCCAAGCAGCCTGGAGAAGGGCAGACACACAGCGGTGCTCCCCAACAGCCATCCCAGGCCACTCGGCCCTGTTTGAAAATGACCTGCCCATCACGGCTAGTTTCAGTTGAACAGACTCCCTTTGTCTACTTAACCATGATGTATTTTGAAAGAACCAGTAGTAGTTATTGTTAAAGGGGTTCAGAATTTCTGCTTGGGGTGATGAAAATGTTTTGGAAATAGACAGGGGTGACGACTGTATAACACTTTGTATGTAAATAATGCTACTGAGTTGTACATATACTTAAAAATGGAAAAATCATTAAAATAGCAAATTTTTACTGTATGTTTTACCACAGTATTAGGGAAAAAAAAAAAAACCCATAGCACATCCAACAGAAAGCCAGCTGTCACTGTGGAAATAAAGCCAAATAAACAACTTCACATCACTAAATACTGCCTGGGAACTCCTGCCAACCAAAGGCTTTCCACTTGACACTGCCGGAAGATGAGGCCTTTCAAGACATGTCAGCACGAGGCCAGCACCCCCTCCCGGAGAAAGGAAGATGAAGGAGACTGGAGGGACCTAGGGGAGTCAATGGTGCTTAACACATTATTTCTGCATCTCCCAAGCCACTACCCTCCCAGACTTGGGGAATGGGGAACCCCAACCCAAGGCCAGGCCCAGCCCTTCTGCCCAGATGGAAGAGCAGGACTGAATGGAGGGCTTGGAGGTTGAGAAGACAGAACCCTGATAAACAGGTCTAGGGCCCTGCAGGTGGGAGAAGCCGGCACATCAGGAAGCAGCCTGGTCTCCTGGAGGACAGCCAAGAGCTCCTCTGACAGGTTCCTGGCAGGTGGCATCTCCCAGCCCCACGCAGCCCCTAAGCAGGGCCCAATCCAGCCTGAGGCCTGTGTGTCTATGGCCCTGGAGCTAAGAATGGCTTTTAATTTTTTAAGGATTACAAAACAAAGACTATGCAATAGAAGCAAATGAGACATTCACTATCTGACCCTTTCCAGAAAAACTCTGTCCCCACCGTGTCCTAGAATATTCCCTTTTAAACCCCAGCTCTCTCCCTGTAGGCTGCCGGCTGGATGCCCTTACCTAGAAGCAGGGGATAGTCCTCAGCCTCCAGCCACGGCGTACAGACTTGGATGTGCTGGAAACGCTTCTGACTGATGAGGCCGCCGTAATACTCCTTCAGAGGCCCTTTGCCTTGCAAAGAAGATCTCAGTCACTGCACTGGACCCATCTCTGGCCCCATCCCACGGCCTCAAGCCTCAGAACCCTGCAGAGGTGTGAGCGGAAGGCCCACACTCTGAAGATGTGATCAGGTCCCCATCTGGCCCCTTCCAGACCGCCAAGGGGAATGCACCCGGACCACTGAAGCCATGGTCCTTCCCCCCGAGCAACCTGCATTAAGAGGGCCTCAGGCTGGGAAGGTGGCCAGGATAAACTCTGGCCAGGCACCAGAGTGCCAACTGGATACAACTTCTCACCCAGACTGGTCTATGTCTGGGTGATGCCCCAGGTGGCACAGTGTATACAGTGGGCTCCCAGCTGCCCGTGGGAACTGTGGCCAGGAGGAGGGGAGAACAAGGTGGGGCAGCTCGCCAGGACTCTGCTCCAACCACAGCTCTCTGCTTCTCTCTCTCCCCGTTGGCCTACTCAGGAAGTAATTTTATGTTGAGCTCTTTAAAGTGGACTCTTTCGTTGAAAAAAAAAAAAAAATGCCTGGAAACCGCTGCACACAAATAAAACTCAGTATCTATGAGGCTATGCTATCCAAGATTCAACCAGAAGCCACAATCCTGCTGTCAGGCCCCTCTGAGCCTCAGTTTCCTCCTCTGTCAAGCCAGTATAGAAAACCCTACATCAGAGAGCTGTGGTCAGGATTGACAAGACAACCAACACCACATGCCTGGTGTGAGGAAGGAACCTTATAATAAAGGCAGATGCCTTCTGCACACCCTCCCCGCAACCGCCCCCTTTCATACGGGAACATGGACGGTCCCTGGCAGTACCTGTTATCACACAGACCAGAGAAGGAAGGCTCTCTCCATCTAGGACCAGCTGTTCAAACTCTATGTTTAAAAAAATAAAATGATAACCAGGATTACTATCTAATCAGGTGAGTGCAGGCTGTGGGGACAGGACGGTGCGGGGGAGGTAGCCTCTCCCAACCACAAGATCACTCTCCCAGAGGTGGCATTTCAGATCTAGGGCCTGGTTAGTCAGTGACCCAAATGGGGACTCAAGAGTCACCACCTCCACCACCCATGTCCTTAAGCTGACCCACTCAGTGGCCCTGGGGGCAGGAACATGCTGCAGGAGACACCATGCAAGGCCAGGTGAGCACCTCACGGCTCAACAGCCCCTGACAATCTCCTGCTCACAGCCACACACCTACTTTTTTTTTTTTTTTTTTAGATTTTATTTATTTATTTAACAGAGATCACAAGTAGGCACAGAGGCAAGCAGAGAGAGGGAGGAGGAAGCAGGCTTCCTGCTGAGCAGAGAGCCCAATGTGGGGCTCGAACCCAGGACCCTGGGATCATGACCCGAGCCGAAGACAGTGGCTTCAACCCACTGAGCCACCCAGGCACCCCCACACACCTACTTTCTAATGCCGCCAGCAAGATGGAGAAGTCTTCATCCTCTATAAGAAAAGAGACCAAAGTGTCATTGGCTAATTTCTAGATGCTTCCCATCCCAGCTCAAGACCACCCCCCTTCTCATCGGGTCCCCAGTGTCCTCAAATACACATGGGGTGCAGGCTCAGCCAGGCACTCATACAAGCCCCAAGTGCCTGGAGGGGTCCTAGACCTGTCCAGCTGGTGCTGCTGATCAACAGGGCCGGCCGCCCATGAAGATACGTGACCACCCCACTCTGAGAGTCCCGCTCTGTGAAGGCCGACCTCTCTGTTGCTGGGTCCAGGCGTTCAGAGCTGAAGAAACAAAAACAGAGCCCATGAGATGTCACAGAGCAAGGCCTCGGGCCCCAGGACGGCGATCTCCTGCCAGAGTGAGGAGTGAGGCCCGCAGACTCCCAACAGTCAGGATGTGGCCATGTCAGCCCCGCCCTCCAGTCTCTGTTGCAAAACTCAGCTCTATTGTTGCTGAACAAAAGCGGCCATGCACGGTGCATTACTCGGTGAGTGTACTGTAGAGCCATAAAACTTTATTTACCAAAAGAGGGGCAGGCCTATGGTCACAGTCTGCCAACCCCTGGATTAGGGGATTAACAGGTCTGCAGCCAGAGACAAGAGAGGCCACAGCAGCAGTGAGAAGTCAGGGTCAGGGGAGAGACAGGACAGCTATGAGGAGGTGGGGGAGAGGTGGGACAGCAGGAAGCACAAGAGAAGACAGATAAAGACTGAAGATGGGACACCTACCGGGCCTTAAATGCAGAGTAGGTGCAGCCCAGCTTCATAAACAGCTGGTGTTGCAGGTCCAAGGGTGTCTCTTTAAAGAAAGAGGCTGGCTTGTCATAGACGGTCACAGCTCTGCAATGAGATCACTGGCGGCTCTAGAGAGAGCCAGAGAAAGGGCTAAGGCATACAAGATTCAGGGGGATCCAAAAAATAAGGGCATTCAGAGGATCCAAGTCTCAGACAAGGACATTAAGAAGCTTCAGAATTACCTGGGAAGCTCAGAGACATGTTCTAAGACCAAAACCGCATGGGCAGTCTGGTCTCCTCCCGTCTCGGCTTCCCAAAACCAGTAATCATCTCCCCAGAACCCTAGGCATTTGTGGCTGCCTCGCCAACATGACACAGCAGGCACTACAGCTGGGACCAACCATGCTTGGGACCCCTCGCCTCCCCAGGCCCCTACTTGATGCCCCAGTTCTCTGCCAGATCTTCCCGCATCGAGTTGGTCACACACAGGTTCAGGTGGGACAGGCGCCCGCAGAGCTTCTCGTACCTGAAAAGATGTATCACCCTTCAGCCAGGAGCCCTGGGACCCACCACTACTGCCACCACCCCTACATGACTTGATACCTTCTGGTACACAAGAGCACAGGGCTGGGGGTTTCCCAAATCGAGTTGCTGGTGAGGTGCCTCCCCAGAGTCTGCGCTGAGTTCTGTCTGTACTATTTCTTTTTTTGTTTGTTTTTTTAAGATTTTATTTATTTATTTGACAGACAGAGATCACAAGTAGGCAGAGAGGCAGGCAGAGAGACAGAGAGAGGAGGCAGCAGGCTCCCAGGACCCTAGGATCATGACCTGAGCTGAAGGCAGAGGCTTTAACCCACTGAGCCACCCAGGCACCCCTGTACTATTTCTTTTACACTTTTAAGTCATATCGCTTTTCAGCTTAAATACAGTTAGAAACATTATCTCAGTGTGCCTGCGCAGCTTAGTAGTTAAGCATCTGCCTTCGGCACAGGTCATGATCCCAGGGCCCTGGGATGGAGCTCCACATCAGGCTCCCTGCTCAGCAGGAAGCCCACTTCTCCCTCTCCCACTCCCCCTGCCTGTGTTCCCTCTCCTGCTATCTCTCTCTGTGACAAATAAATAAAATCTTTAAAAAAAAAAAGAAAGAAAGAAAGAACCTTATCTCTACAGAAGGGAAAATCCAGGCTCTCCTGCCACCAAAGGAAGAAATGTAATAAAGGCTTCATTATTAAATCTTACCCACACTGTACTCTTGCTGCAGAGGCTGTGGGGCTGGGCTTGTGGGTTACCAAGGGATGGTTTTAAAAATCTGAGAGAGATGTTAGCAGCAGATTAGCCCCCAGTGGAGACCTGAGACCTGAGCCCTGATCCCGCGGCAGAAGCGAAAGAGGACCAGAAAGGGGAGGAAGCACTCAAGGTTGCTGAATGCCACTGTTGTACCACAGCCCATTCCTCACTCAGGATGCGGAGAAGGCAAGAGAGCTGGACAGCTTGGGACTGAACTGTGGTCCTCACACTTACTACCTGTGTGGCAAGCAGCAAAGTGGTGCTGGACCTTGGTTTCCTGGTTTGTAAAAGGAGAGTGACCAGAGGACATCCCCACCAGGGGCAGCGTAGACTGAATGGGATAAAGGGCCTGGCATGCAGCAAGTACTCCACGATCACTTGCTGCTGCTGCTGCCACAGCTATTACCCTCGGTGAATGACCCATTAGGGTCAGATACTGCCCACTCGGGCTCAGAGCATGACTCTTCCTGCTCTGCATCCAATCTGCTCCCGCAGGCCCTTCTTTCTTGCTGTCTCACTGGTTGCAGCAGACTGTGGCCTGTGTCCCCATCCCCCAACAGCACCCCCAGTTTTTATTTGGGGCTCTAATCTGGGGGCACCTGGGACCCCAGGTCTGACAACAGAGCACTTCCCCTAAGCCTGAGGCATCGGGGTACTGCAGCACCCCCACCCCAGTGGGATGTCAGAGCCTGACGATCAGAGAGGTTCCCTTTCTCTAATGAGCCTGTCAGGGTGGGGACGAGTGCCAGGAGAGCCCCCAGCACATGAGAAACACCTCCAGGAGGGAGTGCGGAGAAATGAGAGCAGGTCCTGATGACACTTTTTGAGTCAAAGTCAGCCTTGTCTCTGGACTTTGCAGTTTCAGGACCAACAAAAAAGTCTGCCTTGGCTTAGGTCCATCTCTGTTACTTGTAACCAGAGTCAGCCTAATCCCCCAGCCTTGCCCTTACTCCACAGAGCACATGGGGGACCAGCTTCACCAGGTCTCTGTACTGGCCCTTCTTCCTACCCAGTTCAGGGAAGGTGTCTGTACCCTCTTCCCAGACACTCACCACTTGGCCAGCAGGACAAGGCAGTGACTGGGGCCATGCACCAGCCCCATAATGGAGTAGCCATAGTTGTGCCAGTCGATGACAAGCTTGCTCCCACAGAGGCAGCCCACAAACCAGCAGACAGCGATGGCAGGTAAACCCGGGGGGTTCTGGGAAAGAGATATTTGAATGAAGAGAAGGAAACCCAGACCACGGTCAACAATAAACTGACTGAAAACAGTGGCAACATACGTGGCAAAGAGTCAATGATCTTTACAAAGCTCTTGGTAATTAATAAGCAGAAGAAAGACCCTCTTCCTCACCAAAAAAGGTGTAAAAACTCATAAAGGAGGGACGCCTGGGTGGCTCAGTGGGTTGAGCCTCTGCCTTCAGCTCAGGTCATGATCTTGGGGTCCTGGGATCGAGGCCCACATCAGGCTCTCTGCTCGGCGGGGAGCCTGCTTCCCCCTCTCTCTCTACCTGCCTCTCTGCCTACTTGTCGCCCCCCACCCTTTTTTTTTTTTAAAGACTTTATTATTTATCTGAAAGAGAGAGAGAGCACAGGTGGGAAGGAGGGGCACAGGGAGGGGGGCTCTGCTCTCCCCACTGAGCAGGGAGCCCAAAACGGGGCTCAATCCCAGGACCCCAAGATCATGACCTGAGCAAAAGTCAGACACTTAACTGACTGAGTCACCCAGGCACCCCAGAGCATTTGACTCTTAATCTCAGGGTTATGAGTTCAAGCCCCATGTTGTGCATGAAGCCTACTTTAAAAAAAAAAAAGGAAAAAAAGTTTAAAAAGAGCATGAACTCTGATTAAGCACAGGAATTTACCCCATGAAGAAACTGCAAAAAAAAACATATGGTCACTCATGCTCTTTGCTGTGCTATTTGTAAAAGTGAAAAATCTAGAAGTATCTGAATGTCTGTTAAAATGAAATAAGTATGTTAAGAGCATATCATATATTGGAATCCAGTGCAGCTAGTTAAAAGAAGGTGTTTTTATATGTTAAAAAGCAGTGAATGGAAGAGTCTGAGAGCCTAATTCCAGAACCAGACTAACTACTTGGTTCAAATCTTTACTCCAGTATTTCCTAGATGTGTGATGACAGGGCTATTTACAGAACCTCTCTAGACCTAAGTTTCTTCATCTCTAAAAGATAGGTCATACAGGGGCGCCTGGGTGGCTCAGTGGGTTGGAGCCTCTGCCTTTGGCTCAGGTCATGGTCCCAGGGTCCTGGGATCGAGCCCCGCATCGGGCTCTCTGCTCCGCAGAGGGCCTGCTTCCTCCTCTCTCTCTGCCTGCCTCCCTGCCTGCTTGTGATCTCTCTCTCTGTCAAATGAATAAATAAAATCTTTATTTAAAAAAAAAAAAAAAGATAGGTCATACAAGACCCTACTTATTCGAATTGTGAGGAATTGGATGAATTAATACAGACATATAGATAGGTAGTAAGCACAGTCTAAGACTCTGTCTATAATGACAGAATAACAGAATGAATGAGTACCATTAATACAATGGACACACACTGTAAGCTCCTACTCATGTTTTTATAAGTCTATACACACAAAAATATGCAATTTATTCACCAATTTGCATTTTTTTTCAAAAATTTAATTTATTTATATGACAGAGAAAGAGAGAGAGACAGAGAGTACACACAGAGGCACCTGGGTGGCTCACTGGGTTGAGCCTCTGCCTTCAGCTCAGGTCATGACCTCAGGGTCCTGGGATCGAGTCCCACATCAGGCTCTCTGCTCAGCGGGGAGCCTACTTCCCCCTTTTTCTCTGCCTGCCTCTCTGCCTACTTGTGATCTCTGTCAAATAAATAAATAAAATCTTAAATTAAAAAAAAAAAAAAAGAGTGCACACACAAGCAGGGAAAGTGGCAAAGGGACAGAGAGAAGCAGGCTCCCCGCTGAGCAGGGAGCCCCATGTGAGGCTCGATCCCAGGACCCTGAGATCATGGCCTGAGCTGAAGGCAGATGCTCAAACGACTAAGCCAACCAGGTGCTCCACAGTTTGCACATTTTAAAAGGCTGGGAAGTAAAGGAAGCTTAACAGTGGTTCTCATAGGACCACTCAAGGCTGATGTTTACCTGGAGAAAGATGTAGGCTGCTGGCTCCCTGCATATCAACTTCCACAGCAAGTGCACGGACTGAAATACAACTTTGACTCCATACTGGAAAATGTAGGGCCCAACTACAAGTCAAAAAACAGTTGTTACTCCCAAAGGGAATTCTTGGCAATGTGTAGATCCTCCCACCCACCCAACACAGGCACAGATTCAGAGGAACCTGGAGTTCACTGCATCCTACCTGGAAGTTTCTGAAGTTCTGTCAAACTCACAATCTGAATTCTGTTGTTCTGCAAGAGCTCATCATAGGGTCTGGAGTCTGAAAAGAATGTCCCCTTTAATGCGGTGGACAGGGCAATATAAAGTCAGATGATCCAGCAGCTCAGGATGAATAGTGAAGAATGTTTTGGAAAATAAGAAATTTTCTCTCTGTTCCCCATAGCCAGAATAGAGCATTGAGGACACTTCCTGTTCAGTCTCTCCCCACAGAGGGAGGGCCTGAATCTTACCCACTTTTATTTACTTAACACAATGCCTGGCACACAGTAGGTACTCCAGACAATCTAGAGCTCTCTGGATGGTGGAATTACCCCACAACAGGCAGACCCCTAGGAAGCTCCACTCCACTCCACTTTCTGATGACACCTTCAAAACAGGGCCAGAGGCAACCAGTGCTACTCCCCCTTTTCCCTGATACACGACTGAGGTACCCTCTAAAGATGTCATCCTGCTTCTGCATACTGAGAGTAAAAGCTGGACGTGCAGCACAAATGAAACCTCTCCTGCCTGCAGACTCTGCACTGAGGGTGTGAAATGGAGAGGAGACAATTCCTCTGAGACACAGACTGACAAAGTAGCCACAAGGAAGTATGGTTATCGTCACTGGCCCTGGAGTCACACACACCTGGGTTCCAATCCGTATTTCCATTCACTTAGGAAGATAATGTGAGACTATGCAATGAGTTAACTTAACACAATCCTGACATATGGCAGTCACTCCGTTAACGCTGGCTCTTCCTAGATACCCATCCAGCAAAGGCTGGGCAGAAACCTGGCCGACTGGGCCACTACCGAGGACATCCAATTTCAGAGAGCTGCCCGAGGTAGGAGGGAGGAAGGGGCGTCCCCGCCCCAGATCCCCTGCGTAGGTCAAAGCCGCTGGTTAAAGGCTGAGAGTGCAGCCTCCCTCCCAGTCTCCCGGGCACTCACTGCAAAAGCCCAGAAGGGTCACGGAGAAGCCGCTCTTGGCAAACGACAGCGCGTGGTACTGCATGCGGGGACTGCGACCCACGTCCCCCAGCACCACAATGATCACGTGCCATTTCGCGCGCCCCTGACGCCAGCGCTTCCACGAGACCAGCAGCAGTAGCAGCAGAGACGTGGCCACCGCTAGCAGGGCCATACAAGAAGCCGCCATTTTGGCGGGACGATAGCAGTCACGTGACCGCCCTCCCCCCGCCAGCGACGCAGTGCGCAGCCTCAGACACAGCCTCTCGGAGATGGGCGGAGAGAAAGGAGGTGAGGAGGTGGTTCCCTAAGCGGAGGCCCGCGGCACTTGGAAGGAGCCACTGCTGGCCAAAAATTGGTGATGCTATGGTAAAGATCCTTCTAAGGATCTAGGAACGCTTTTTCTCAAAATTCTAAGATAACTTAAAATACAGTGAAACAGGGGCGCCTGGGTGGCTCAGTGGGTTAAAGCTTCTGCCTTCGGCTCAGGTCATGATCTTAGGGTCCTGGGATCGCGCGTCGGGCTCTCTGCTGGGCTGGGAGCCTGCTTCCCCCTCTCTCTCTGCCTGCCTCTCTGCCTACTTGTGATCTCTGTCAAGTAAATAAAAATCTTAAAAAAAAACAAAACACAGAAACAATTCATATATATAAAATCAAAACTACCCTTTAGGGGCGCTTGGATGACATAGTCCAGGCCCTTAAGGGTGGACTCTTGATTTCGGGTGAGGTCATGATCTCAGGGTGGGGAGGTGGGGCCGGGGGGGGGGGGGGGGCCAAACTCAGCGGGGAGTCTGCTTGAGATTGTCTCTCTCCCTGTCCCTCTGCCTGTCTTCCCACTTGGTGCATTCATTCTCTCTCTATCTAATAAATAAATCTTAAAAAACAAAAAAAACTCCCCTTTACTATTAGAAGTCAGGAGAAAGACCTGCCTTGGAGGACGGGGTGTGAGGGCTCCTCAAGTTGTCTTTCTGGATCTGGGTAGGTGTGGTCCTTCAGAAAAAATTCTTTTAGCAGCAAACTTGTTCATTTTTCCGGTTGTATGTTGTACTTGAATAAAACGTTTATAAAGAGAAAGGGAAAAGGACAAAGAAGGAAGTAAAACACAATGATTTCAAGTGTATGTGGTTAAGAAGGAAAGATTTTCCCACTGACAGTCTCATTTTACCCCCTAAAGTAGTCACACTAAAGAGTTTAGTGTGTGTACATGTGATAGCCTTTTAACTTTGGATGGGATCCTCTTGCTGAGAAACACTGAGAGCATTTTGGTAAAGCCCCCCTCACTGCCCTCAAGCTTCTTCTCTCACTCATGCACTGGACCAAAAAAAAAAAAAAAAAATTAAAAAAAAAACTCCTTTGATAAGAGCCTAGACAGGGCAGCACCTTGCAGATGTGGTTCCAGTGTCCCTAGAGCCCAGCTCAAGACTTAGCATGTGTGTCTCATTTGCTTCTCACAATAGCCTTGTGACTCCTTTTTTACCAAAAAGGATGTTGAAGATCACACCATTAGTGAGTAAGTGACAGAGATAGGGCTTAAAAATTAAGCTAAAGAGGGAAAGGAAAGATTAGTAAATATGTAGAGATAGAAGGGATAGGCAGACAGACATGGAGGGCAGCCTCCTTAGTCCCTCAGTTGCAGGTGCGGGGGCTGTAAGGCTGGAGGACACACCCTGCCCACTCTGTCCACCCCCTTGTGGTGGGATGTGGCTGGAATCTGGAGACCTCAGCCTGGTGGGTTTCATTATCTTGGGCAAGTCACTCTCCATCGGTTGGCTTTCCTGACCTGTAATTTAAGGAGGGTACTTCCCGTCTCAAACGGGCCCTTCTGCCCTGATGATCTGATAGGAGTCTAAGGACCAGGTCCCATGGTTATGACAAACCAAGAGTAATTGCCATTCTCTAGAGGATGAAACCCTGACTGGCAAAGGAGTCAGGATTGCTTCTCTAGGGAGAAAGGAGCAAGATGCATCACCAGTCAGAGGTGTTTCAGAGCTCAGCCAGCTCTGCTTGTCCTGCCTGCCCATTTGTTATACATCACATATGAAATTCAGTCCTTCCAAAGGTCAGGAGGGTTAGTTTCCCCTTTAGAGACTGGAGATTGAACCCCAGCAGGATCACCTGATTCTTAAGATGTGGACTCAGGCGTTGGATTTCCTGCACCACCTCATACTAGCTGTGAGACAGTAAGTCACAAGAAATCACTTACCTTGTCCCCTAGAGCCTCAGATTTTAAGTTATAAAAGGGAATAAGAATAGGACCCACTTGGGTGCCTGGGTGGCTCGTCGGTAAAGCATCTGCCTTCAGCTCAGCTCATGATCAAGAATCCTAGGACCAAGTCCCACATTGGGCTCCCTGCTCATCGGGGAATCTGGTACTTCCTCTCCCCCTCCCTCTGTGCTCTCTCTCTCCCTTGCTTTCTCTCAAGTAAATAAATAAAATATTTTTTTTAAAAAGAATAGGACCCACTTCAGAGGCTGTTGTCAGGATTAACTGAAGTGACAATAGTGACGAGCTTCTCCTAGAACATTAATTCTCAATGGCACACCCAAGGGAATAAAAAAATGGTTGTTGGGGAGGAAAAAGAAAACTTAACTCTCCCTATATGTAAGGCACAGATATAGACACAGTACACAAACAAATATATGGTATAACTGCAATATTAAAATGTCATGGTGTGGGGCGCCTGGGTGGCTCAGTGGGTTAAGCCTTTGCCTTCGGCTCAGGTCATGATCTCAGGGTCCTGGGATCGAGCCCCACATCAGGCTCTCTGCTTGGCAGGGAGCCTGCTTCCCTCTCTCTCTCTGCCTGCCTCTCTGCCTGCTTGTGATCTCTGTCTCTCTGTCAAATAAATGAATAAAATCTTAAAAATAAATAAATAAATAAAATTTCATGGGGTCAGCAAACAAAAACGTATGCATGAGGAACCCTCATATATCACTGGTAGGAATGTAAGATGATGCAGCCCCTGTGGAAAATATTTTGATACTTCCTCATGGAAACATAGACTCACCACAGGATCCAACACCTGCCTCATAGGTATATGGCTAAGAAAAGTGAAGACAGGTTTTGAAACAAAAACTTGTAAGCAATATTTATTTCAGCATTATTCACAGTAGCAGAAAGGTGGAAATAACTCATATGTCCATCAATAGTTGAATGGCTAGGATATAATGGGATCTAGCTGCACAGCGGGATGTTATTCAGCCATAGAAAGGAATCAAGTCCTGGGGTGCCTGGGTGGCTCAGTGCATTAAGCCTCTGCCTTTGGCTCAAGTCATGATCCCAGAGTCCTGGGATCAAGCCCCGCATCGGGTTCTGTAATCAGCAGGGAGCCTGCTTCCCCCCTCTCTCTCTGCCTGCCTCTCTGCCTACTTGTGATCTCTTTCTCTCTGTCAAATAAATAAATAAAATATTTTTTTAAAAAGGAATCAAGTCCTGATTCATGCTACAACATGGATGAACCTGGAAAACGTCACGCTGAAGGAAAGCAGTCAGGCACAAAAGGTCACATACTGAAGAGTTCCCCCAATTTTAAGAAATGTCTAGAATGGGCAAATCCATGGACATTGAAAGTAGATTCATGGTTGTTAGGGGCTGGGCAGTTGAGGAGGCAGGGGTGGGAGTGGGGAGTGACTGGTAATGGGGACGGGTTTCTTTTGTGGGAAACGAAAATGTTTCAGAATCAGATAGTGGTCGTAGTTGAGCAACCTTGTGAATCTACTTTAAAAGACACTGCTGAATTGTACACTTTAAAAGGGCGAATTTTATGGTATGTGAATTATATCTCAATAAAGCTGTCATTCTTAAATGTTTGGGAAAAAATGTATAAAAAGGTTGGCAGGGGTGGGGGAGGGAGGGACAAGAATGAAATTAAATGGTTGACCTACAGCATGCCCACAAGGACCGTCAGGATGAAAGTTTTGGTGGCGGTATTTTTATTATTTTTTTTACAGATCTAAAATCTGTTAACTGAAGCCCTGGGAGCCAGGTATGTTTCTGCATTCAGAACTTTTTGGATTTTAGAAAGACAATATGGGGCATGTGCATGTAACCATCCAGCAAGGTTCAGGACAGGACCCAGTAAACCAACGTTAAAAAATTTCTGCAGGGGGCGCACCTGGGAGGCTGAGTTGGTTGAGCATCCAGTTCTTGGTTTGGGCTGAGGTTGTGATCTGGGGGTCATGGAATCAAGCCCTACGTAGGACTCTCCACTCACTGGAGAGTCTGCTTCTTTCTCACTCTCTCGCTCTCTCTCACTCTCTCTCTCTCTCCTCCTCTCCCTCTGTCCCAACCCTACCTGTGTTCTCTCTAAAATAAAGACATAAATGTTTTCTAAAAATTTCTGCAGGGAAACATATGCGTTCACACTGAACAAGCCAAAGCAGGGCTCTAAGTCTTTAGTGTACAATACAGCAGCCACATGTGATTGATGGGCTCTTGAAATGAGCCCAGCCTGTGTTGAAATGCACCTCAAGTATAAAATGCCACATTTCAAAGACCTCATTTGAGAAAACTGATATTTAAAAAGTTACAAAGTTCATCGTTTTATATTGATTCCATGTTGAAATGTTTTGGATCCATTGGTTCAAGTAAGGTAGATCATTAAAATTCATTTCGCCTGGGTGCAGGGGTGACTCACTCGATAAGGCATCTGACTCACGATTTCAGCTCAGGCCTTGACCTCAGGATTGTGAGTTGGGCTCCATGCTGGGTGTGGAGCCTACTTTTAAAAAAATTAATTTCACTTGCTTTTCTTCACTTTTTAAAATGTGGGGGCGCCTGGGTGGCTCAGTGGGTTAAGCCTCTGCCTTCGGCTCAGGTCATAATCCCAGAATCCTGGGATGGAGCCCCGCATGGGGCTCTCTGCTCCACAGGGCGCCTGCTTCCCTTCCTCTCTCTCTGCCTGCCTCTCTGCCTACTTGTGATCTCTGTTTGTGAAATAAATAAATAAAATCTTTTTAAAAAATAAAATAAAATGTGGCCACTGGATGATTTTTAAGTGCCCACGTGTCCCGCCTTTACAGTTAATATCCTGTTTCAAACAAGTTTGTTCCAAACTTATTTCAAACAACAGAAAAGGAAAAACCTTTATGTTTCCATGTTTTTAGATCTGGAGTATAACTGCAATTGGTAGGTCCAAGACTTAGCCCATGGGCCTGGAGAATCAAGAATGAGAAGGAAAGGCTGGGAGCTTG